GCAGCAGCAGCAGCAGCAGCAGCAGCAGCAGATGGGTCGTCGTAGGGGGCCTCTTGTGAGGCAGCAGCAGCCTATCCCCTCAAGGGGAGATGCTGAGCAGCAGCTGCCGCGAGCAAGCAGGGGTGAGAGAAGAGATCCTGCTGCTGCTGCAGACCCTGTTGCTGCTGCTGCTGCTGCTGCTGCTGCAGATTCAGACGGGAAGCAGAGACAAAAGGGGCCAGTGGTGTCTCTAATGAGCAGCACACCAGAGCTGTCTCCTTCGAGCAGCAGCAGCAGCAGTAAAGGCAACAGCAGCAGCAACAACACAAGCAGCAGCGACAGCAGCAGCTGCAGCTGCAGCAGCTGCAGCAGGAGTAGCAGCGGCGGCAGCTGCAGCTGCAGCAGCAGCAGCAGCAAAAGTTCTCCACTACGGGTAGAAGACTATTCCGAGTGCAATGAGGGGACCCCCGCTGCTGCTGCTGCTGCTGCTGCTCCGAGTCCGCAGAATGTTGCAGCAGGAGGGACAGCAGCAGCAGCAGCAGCAGCAGCAGCAGAGAATACTGCTTGGGTGGAGGAAAGGGCTGCTGCTGCAGGTGCAGCAGGAGTAGATTTGCTTGCTGTTGCTTTTGAGTTGCAGCAGGACACGAGCTTACCGTTAGAGAAGCGACAAGCAGCAGCACAGCGAGCTGTTGCTGCTGCACTAGAGCAGCAGCAGCAGCGCTTCAGGGGCCGCAGCAGGAAGGGGAGGCTGCTGTGGGCAGCAGGAAGACTGTTCAGAGGAGACAGTCATTTTCTTTTTGGGGTGCCGATATTCTGTCTGCTGTCTCTCTGTCTCTGCACCGAGACGCTGCTTTATGTTTTTGTGCTGCTGCTGTCTCGGCTGCTAGAGATGTCTTTCTTCAGACTTCATTCTGCTGCAACCCGCTTCAAACGCCGGCAGCAGCAGCAAAGGCAGCAGCAGCAGCAGCAGCAGCAGCAGCAAAGGCAGCAGGAAGGGGGAGAGTTGAGGGCCGGCTTCTCTGCTGGTGCTGGAGACACTGCTGCAAAAGCTGCTGAAGGCGCTGCTGCTGCTGCTGCTGCTGTTGCTGCTGCTGGAGTCGCATCTGCAGCAACAGCAGCAGCAGCAACAGCAGCAGCAGCAACAGCAGCAACAGCAGCAGCAACAGCAGAAGGAACAGCAGCAGCAACAGCAACAGCAACAGCAGCAGTGCCTACAGGGTGGCTGAGGATGGGGCGCTATGTGCATGCAGCGGGTCGTTTGCTGCTGCTGCTGCTGCTGCACCCTGTTCGTTTGCTGCTGCAGCTGCTGCAGCAGATTCGTGGGAGCAGCAGCAACAGCAAGATGTCTCCATGCATGCTGAAGCGGCAGCTAGAGAAATGCCGTTCGTTTGCTGCTTTTGCTGCTGCAGCAGCAGAGCTTGATGCTGCTACAGGAAGAGACAGCTGGAAATTAAAAAGAGAGACAAGTTTATTTGACTGGAAGGAGACGCAGCAAATGCTGCTGCTGCTTACTGCAGCACGAGAGAAGAAAGACCCGCTGGCTCTTGCTGCAGCAGCAGCAGAAGCACTCCGTGGCTGCGCACAAGCAGCAACACAAGAAGCATTATATAGGTTTGTTTGCTGCTGCTGTTGCTGCTGCTGTTGCTGCTGCTGCTGCTGCTGCTGCTACTGCTACTACTGCTGCTGCTGCTGCTGCTGCTTCTTTTTGATTTGCTTTCTTTCTGTTTATTATTGTTGCTTGTCTCTGTCTTCTCTGCTGCTCTGCTTGGCGTCGTCTCTGTTCTTTGTTGTCTCTGCTATTTTATTTATTTATTTTGTTTGTTCATTTTGTACATTTTATTTATTTATTTTATTTGTTTTGTTTATTTTTTTATTTTTATCTCCAGCCGATGTTTTGTTGTTTTATATTTGGGGTGTACATGCAGCTCGTGAAGACTTTATTTTTATCATTCTGTAAAAAGTAATAATAAAATAAAATATAATATTATTACCCAACATAATATATATATATTTATTTATTTATATAAATATATATATATATATATATATTTATATATAATATTTATTTATATATTTATATTTATGTAGACCCTCAGTGCAGCAGCTGTTTTGTTTGTCTCTCTCTCGCGTCTCCTCTTTAGTTATTATTATTATTATATTATTATATTTATTATTGTTATTATCATTATTATTATATTATTATATTTATTATTATTATTATTATCATTATTATTGTTGTTGTTGTTGTTGTTGTTATTAATATTATTACTGTTTTTATTATTATTATCTTTGTTATTGTTTTTTCTGTCTTTGTTTGCTGTTGCTTTTGTTTCTCTTTCATATATTTGCATATTTATTATATATATACATTTATTTATATATTTATATATTTATATATTTATATATTTATTTATATTTATCTTTCTTTTGTCTGTTTGTAGCCGTACATACATAGGAACGAAGAATGTCTTAGAGGAGTTGCTGCAGCAGCTGCTGCTGTCTCTGTCTGATCTTGAGGTGTACATACACCGCAACCCTCAGCTGCGTTTGCTGCTGCGAGAAACAGTTTTAGATATGAAGAGACAGTGGAAAGAAACAGCTCTCGTACTCAGCGGTCAGTACACACTCCTGCTGCTGCTGCTGCTGCCGCTGCTGCTGCTGCTGCGGGTGCATGTGCTGCTGCTGCTGCTGCTGCTGCGGGTGCATGTACTGCTGCTGCTGCTGCTGCTGCGGGTGCGGGTGCATGTACTGCTGCTGTTGCTTGTGCTTGTGCTGCAAGCGGTAGTGCTGCTGATGCTGCTGCTGTTGCTGCTGCTGGTGTTGCTGCTGCTGCATGCACCGCTGCACACTGATGCCTCAGCTGCTGCTGCTGCTGGTTGGCGTTGCTGCATTTTATGTTGCGGTGTCTCCTCAACAGCTGTAGCAGCTGTTGCTGCTGCTCTAAGCTTTTCTCCTGCTGCTGCTGCTGTTGCTGCTGCTGCTGCTGCTGCTGCTGCAGGGGGGGCTATGCTGGGGCTTCATCACTTTGGGTTTATTGAGGGTCTCCTCTTTAACAACGAGACGGGCGAAAACCTCCTACCAAATGTCTGCTGCTGCTGCTGCTGCTGCTGCTGCTGATGTTGTTGTTGCTGTTGCTACCGTTGCTGTTTGCTGCAGCTGCTGTTGCTATTGTTGCTGCTGCTATTGCTGTTGCTTTTCTTGCTGCTGCTGCTGCTATTGTTGCTGGTGCAGTTGCTGCTGCTGTTGCTGCAGTTTTGTTCTCTTTTTATTGCTGCACTGTCTTCCTCCACGCCCAGATAGGCTGTTTGACCTGCTTCTGCTGCTGCTGCTGCTGTTGCTGCTGCTGTTGCTGCTGCAGGTGATAGTGGGGTGCAGCGCCGGAGCAGCAGTTGCTGCTTGGCTTTGCACTCGGACGGATGCAGAGCTGAGAAAAGAGTTAGACGAGGTGTACATACACCAGGCGTTCAGGGGTTTGTCTCCAAACAACTGGAGAGAGAGATTTAGAAACCTTCTTAAAAGAGGGTCTGTTGCTGCTGCTGCTGCTGTTGTTGCTGCTGCTGCTGCTGCTTTTGCTGCTGTTGTTGTTGCTGCTGTTGTTGGTGCTGCTGTTGTTGCTGCTGTTGTTGGTGCTGCTGGTGTTGCTGCTGTTTTTGCTGCTACTGCTGTTGCTGCTGCTCCTGCTGTTTTTGTTGTTGCTGCTGTTGTTGCTGCTGTTGTTGTTGCTGCTGTTGCTACTGCTTCTATCGCTTCTGCTGCTGCTGCTGCTGCTGCTATCACTTCTGCTGCTGCTGCTGCTATTCTTACTGCTGCTGCTACATATATATATATATATAATTTGCATGACTTTACCTGTTAGTGAACATATTAATTAATTAATTAATTAATTAATTTATTAATTAATTAATTAATTTATTTATTTGTAGGTATATGTGCGATACGGCTGCCTGGGTGAGGGCATCGCAGAAGTTGTTCGGCGATATGACATTCAAAGATGCGTATCAGAAGACAGGACGGTTAGTTGTTTATTTATTTATTTATTTATTTATTTATTTATTTTATTTAATTGTTTGTTTGTTTATTTATTTAATTGTTTATTTAAGATGCGTATCAGAAGACAGGACGGTTAGTTGTTTATTTATTTATTTATTTATTTATTTAATTTATTTAAGTGTTTGTTTGTTTATTTATTTAATTAATTTATTTAATTATTTATTTAAGATGCGTATCAGAAGACAGGACGGTCCGCTGTTTGTTTATTATTTATTTATTTATTTATTTATTTATTTATTTATTTGATTGTTTGTTTAATTGGGTATTTAATTTGTTTCTTTGTTTGTTTATTACTTATTTATTTAATTTATTTATTTGTTTGTTCGTTTGTTTGTTTGTTTGTTTATTTATTTGTTCAATCTATTTAGTTAATTAATTATTTAATTAATTAATTTGTTTATTTATTTGTTTCTTTGTTTGTTTGTTTTAATTTACTTCGTTTTATTTTATTTTGTTTTGTTTTGTTGTTGCCTTCTTCGTCTTGTCTTCTGCTTTATTTTGATGTGTCTTCGTCTTTAATTTAATTTAATTTAATTTTTATTTTATTGTCTGTCTTTGCGTTTCTCTTTGTTTATTTTTATGTATTCTTCTTGTTCTTGTTTATCTATTTATATATATATATATCATATAAATAATATATTAAAATGTCTAAACCGTATAGACTATAAATATTATTTGTTTGTCTGCATCTGCTTGCTGTATTATATTTATAATAATATTAAAAATGATAGTAAAGTTTTTATATCTGTTTATTTATTAGAGTTGTCTGAAGAACAAAAAATGTTTTTTCTTGTCTTTGTCTGTCTTCTTTTTTATCTCTCATCTACGTAATGCTGCATTTGCTTCTATTTATCTCTTTTCATATTTATTTATTTATTTATTTATTTATTTATTTATTTATTTATTTATTTGTTTATTTATTTATTTGTTTGTTTGTTTATTTATTTATTTATTTATTTGTTTATTTGTTTATTTATTTATTTGCTGTCTCTGTTCCCTCAGCTGTCTCCACATTGCAATTACTGCAGCAGACAGACACGACCAAGTACAGGCAAGTGCAGCAGCAGCAGCAGCAGCAGCAGCAGCAGCAGCAG